CAACAGAGACCCAGTTAGCAGGTTCAACAGAGACCCAGTTAGCAGGTTCAACAGAGACCCAGTTAGCAGGTTCAACAGAGACCTAGTTAGCAGGTTCTATGGTAAAACCTGGTTAGAAGGTTCTAGAGCAGGGGTCTCAAACCGGTTCCAGAAAGGGCCGTGTGGCTGCAGGTTTTCTTTCCAACCAAGCAATAGCACACCAGACTGCAGTCATCTCATCAACTGAGTGCAATCTGAACACGATGACTTGATGAGATGACTGCAGTCTGGTGTGCTATTGCTTGGTTGGAAAGAAAACCTGCAGCCACACGGCCCTTTCTGGAACCGGTTTGAGACCCCTGCTCTAGAGACACCTGGTTAGAGGTTTCCAAAGAGAACCGGATGAAGGTTCTACAGAGACCTTGTTTGAAAATTCTACAGAGTCCAAGTTAGAAGGTTCTACAAAGACCCGGTTAGACAGTTCTACAGAGACACGGTTGGGTCAGAGCAAGGCAGTCATGATACTACTTCTAGTCCCCAGTCAGTCTGCAGGTGTCCTGGTCTGGTTCTGGTCCATTCATTGGTTTCCTCTGATCACCTGTTTGAGTCCAGAGAACATGAAGGCATCTGATGGATCCACAGCGATCTCCACCTCCTGCAGCTGGGCCGTCCTGTTCTCTATGTGGTACCGGACCGGAAGAGACTCTCTGACCCGTCCAAAGGAAGGAAGATCTGCACACGGGTCACACAAACACATCGGATCAGAGCCAGAGCCGTCAGTGAGGAGGAAAACAGAACATCTCAACACCTACTGACCGGCGTAGATGTAGAGCGGGACAGACTCCAGGACGACATGAGGCAGAGGGACGGTGGTCTGGATCAGGGGGCCGTCGGAACCATAACACTTCCTGTTTGACACAGTTCTACTGGTCAGACTGCTCAGGCTTAGGGGTGTGTCTGCTGCTGTTCACCTACCTCCTCCATGACAGGATGTACTGTCCTGTTGCCATGGTGCTGTTGCTGCTGGCGCCCGGTGGCACTCGGAGACAGAAACACTCACTGGCTCCTTCACCCGTCTGTAGAACCACTAAAGAGACGGAGGGACAGACAGATGGACAGGGAGACAGATGATTAAATCTGGCACCGGTCCGACTGGGCTCAGCCAGAGGAGCGCTCTGCTACCTTGCTGAAGCTGCGACTGCAGCTGAGGAGTGTTGCTGGTCACCGTCAGCAGCTGCAGCTGGGAGGAGCTTAGCAGCAGAGGCCACGGAGAAGACGAGAGGACGTCGGTCATCAGCAGGAAGGGGACATCCACCGCCACCTGCTCCAGCGGTTCGAACTGGGGACACACAGACCATGAGGAACGCTCCGTCTGCAGCTGCTGCTGCTGAGCTATAACATGATGCAGGAACTGTGGATCACCTTGGTGGACACGAACTTCACTGAGACGTCAAACGGGACCACGGTCTCTACAGCAACTGTCTCATCCTGGGGAGGACAGGGAGAGCTAGGATGGTCACAGCAGATCTACTCACATAGGTCTCAGTGAGGACAAATGAAGCCGTCTAGAATGATTCAGGCTCACAGATGTGAAAGCCCCACATAAAAAACAAGAAATGTTTGGTTCTGTCCAGGTTCTGGTCCAAACCCAGATGCATGTCCAACTGTAGGATTGTGAGGTGGCAGTGACTGACACCGTCCACCGGGAGGGGTTGTCCTACGTGAGGCAGAGCCACATTAAGGGAAAGTTGGATGGCAGGAAAAAGTGAGGCAGAAAACAGAAGATTGTCCAGCAGCAGGACTTGGTACCAGCCCGCACTGAAGCTGGTCCAATGAAACGGACCAGACCAGAACCCCAGAAAGATGCTGCAGACTACTAACAGAGGAAGATGAAATGCAGCAGAGCCGTTACCCCTAACAGCTTCACTGAGTGATCGACCCAAACTTCCTGGTTCTGAGCTCTAGAGATGAACCCAGAGAGCTCCCTACCTTGTGACATCTGCACACGATGCGCCGTCCTTCCACAGCCGTGTCGATGCTGTAGGCCACGTGGAACAGGAAGACCCGCGGCCCGGTTGACACGCACCTCACAAACACGCACGTCTGCAGCTGGAACCCAACAGAACTCAGCGTCACCAGAACTCCTCGGGGGAGGGGCTGCAGAAGCAGGCGGAGCGTACCTGTTCTCCTGGTTTCAGATCGCCCAGAGGAACCTCGGTGAGCAGAGCCGGGGCGCTGTCGTCACACACGGCCGACCCGTCCAGCGTCACATGGGTGTTCTGACCCAGACCGGCCTCCTGACCTGGAAACACATGCAGAGATGTTCATACGTGGAGAACCAGAGAACCAGCAGGTCTGGTTCTGTTCGCCACCACCCGGTGGTTCATGGCGTACCTGGCTTCAGACCGGCGGTGAGCCTAACATCCCTGGCTACAGCGTCCTCCTGTGATTGGACGGTCAGGCCGATGCGGTACATCTCGTTGGACAGAGCAGGAGGCTGGTGGCTCAGCTGGACGCTGATCTTCGGGACCCTGGAGATGATCCTGAGGAACAACAAGGGTTACTGCAGTTGGCCCGCGGGCTGGAGACCACTGGGGAGGGGCGGCCTTACATGGTGCTGTGCTGCAGCGTCACGCCGTCCCAGTCCGGCTCCTGACGGGCCTCGGCGCCCCGCCCCCATCGCCGTGACGACCTGCTGGCCTGCAGGGCTTCCTGGGTGGAGGCGGCATCTCCGCCAGCGCCTCTCCAGCTCAGGAACACGCAGCGGCCGCCGTCACTGCCCAGCATCACCTCCACACCGGTAATCTGCACAGAGACAGGCTCAGTGACAGACCCCCCCATCTGACGCACTGACCCCCCCTCCTCTTACCTCCACCTTCCGCCCCACGTCTTCAGTTCTGGCCACAAAGCTGAAGCTGTAGCTTTCAGGTTTCCATGGTGACAGCGTCCTGGTCTCTGGACCCGATGGTTCCACCACACACCACTGGTTGTATTCCTGAAGAGACCCACAGGTGGCCCCCAGTCAGAGGCTGGTCCAGGACCAGGAATAACCCCCCCCCACCACACCGGTCTGACTGCCAGCCTGAAGGACACTGCTAGTATGAACCCCCCGTCAGAGGGACCCACAAGCAGCAGCGGTTCTGGTACCTGGTTGCTGAGGCTGACGCTGAGCTTAGTGAAGGACACAGGGTGCGGACAGTCAGCCCTGAGGAACACCTGCAGCTGGATGGGCTGGTCCACATGGAAGCTAGGAGACTGGAACCGCGCTTTGCACTGAACTACAGACACAGAAGAAACTTTTAAACAGGAAACTCTGATCAAGGAGCCCCGACATCTTTGGTAAACCTTAAATCCTTCATCAAACCTCTGGAAACATCAGATAAACACTGAAACACCCTGGATCCTGAATATGAAGAATAACCGACCGGCTGATATATTTGGGCTGTTTTACCTTTAGTGAAGTTTTTAGAATGATAAATACTAGTTTCTGAGGAACTGAGGGTAGATCAATCGGCTGTGGTCTGGCTTTAAATGTAGAGAGTGGTGTATGTAGAGAGTAAGGCAGGAAGGATGAGAGGAAGAGAAGCCGGACAGAGGGCACCATTGCTATTGTCATCAAGTGAGGAAATTTAAAGCTGCCTCTGATCTCTGCCTTCTAGAGACGGCTGCAGCCCTGCAGTGGCGCGAACTAATCCAGGAGTGTTCACTCACTGAATGGGATGTAGTCCTGCATTTCCACGGTCAGTTCATTGGATCCTGACAAAGCCATGCGGTCGCTCCACAGCGACCTGGCGGCGCTGACAGAAGACGGATCACACTCTGCCTCAGCCTCCGGAACCTTGTTCTGAAAACAGGAGGAGATGCGGTTGGACATGTTTGGTTAGAGCTCCATGGCTTCAGACTGCTGACAGGGCAGCAAGGGCAACAACAGACAACATCAGAACAAGCCCAGCTGCTCTCACACAGTGGTGTTAGATGTATGATTAAGTTTGGGGTTAAACACTCCTGCTACTTACCATTAGCACTTTAAAAAGGTTCTTCTCTATCCTTGACTTCTGCTCCTCCTTAAGGGTAGAAGCTGAAGGACAAAACATAAACAGGCAAACTTAGGTCCAGAGATGGTTTTTGATCAAGCTGTCCAGTGTCAGTCCTAACAGCAATCTGCCTCTGGTACCTCTGCCCAGCAGCTCCATGCAGTAGATGATGTAGTCCTTCACACTGGCCATCAGATAAGCACAGCGCAGCGCCGTGGTCAGTATGGCCGTCAGCAGAGGCCACCATCGCTCTGTGCGATAATCACACATTACATAGTCCAGCAACCTGAGGAGACCCAAACACAGATGATGAAGAACCTCCTGCAGACAGACCAACCAAACACACAGGAATAAATAAAGCTGGAGGCTTACTTCAGGGCCTTGGTGTAGTCTTTAGCATGGTAGTATTCCTCTCCCATCTGCACCACTGCAAAGGACAACATAGCAAAGAAAGGCTTAGAGCTAAGCAGGAAGATCCTACATCAGCTGCCAAATCACACAGACTTCTGTTAGGAAGGAAACAAGGTGGTCTGAAGGGAGAGTGGCACTCACTCAGGTGACTCTTCATCCGAGGACACTTGTACTTCTTAAACTGGGCAACAGCATTGCTGAGAAGAGCAATGATCAGCTCCTGTGGAGATTAAGAGAGACATGGCTAGGTGGCG